GCCCTACTTGTGACTTGAGCCAAATTGGCAATCAATGGAACATTGCAAGCAACACCAACACGGACCTCAGAACAGCTTCCCAATTTAGGCACGGGGCCTGGAGGGTTTTAACAAGAAACAACAATCACGACAACCTGTCATTCAAGTAGACTTTGCCTACATCAAGTCACAACAAGACCCAAAGACCACACCGGTACTGACAGCAGTTGATGTTACTACACAACTGTGTATGGCAGTATTGGTTCCAGACAAAGCATCAATGATGGACTACATGGTCAACAACCTACAAGCATTTATCTTTGAGTGCGGAAGAACACAAGGCATACTACAAAGCGACAACAAAGACACACTCAACGCACTTCTAAAAGCTACAGCAGCAAAAGTCGGCACAATGAGTGTACGACATTCACCTTCCTTACAGCAGCAACAGTCAAGGAAGCGTTGAGCGACTACACAGAACACTTCTCGGACAAATCCGCGTCGTCAAAGCTCAGGTTGAAAGCAACTACAGCATGACGATGTCCACAAAGCACTGTCTACTACCTTGGATAGTACGACATGCAGCATGGACGGTAAATCGCTACGTCATTCACTCAGATGGCTACACAAGCTTTGAACGCCGCTGGGGAAGAAACTACGAGCGAGCAATCCGCGAATTTGGCGAGACACTACTTTACCTTCCACCACAACACAAGAAACTTCCAAAAGCAGACCTACGGATGCAGAAATGCATCTGGCTCGGAAAAGTTTCCGAAACCGGAGAAAACTACGTCGCAACGGAATCAGGCGTACAAAAGGTACGAACAGTACGGAGACTACAACCGGACTTCAAATACGACCTCGCACTGTTGAACAAAGTTTCCGGCACACCATGGGCACCACGACGGAACACCTACAACCCTTCGTTCGCAACACTGTTGGATACGCAACTACAACCGTCAGAGAAAAGAAGGTCCACGCAAGATTTCGGACAACAAACGAACGCTACGGACGACATCGTTGCGGAACCCGCAACAAAACAACAACGCACTACACCACCTCCACGACTTCCGTCCACATCGACGTCAAGTTCACGACCACTACCGGACAGTCCTATGGCTACTTCACCAACTGGACGACAACATCCACCACTACCAGCACCACCTCGACAAACACTACGACGTTTAACTCCGGAAGAAGTAATGCAACCAACTAAAGCACAGAAGACCTCAAAGGACACTACAATCAGATCAACGGAACAAGCAACCAAAGAACCACCACCACTACGACAGAAAATCAACGCAGTGACACTTCCCAACGGAAAATCCATCACTCCCTACACAAACGACGACACCTCAGAAGACCAACCCATAATCTTCGACAACGAAGGTTACGACGAAACACAACTACTGGAAGGAATGAAACACGAGTCAAACCAAATGAAACTACACGACGTCTACGACGAAGTAGATGCGTCTACCGTCGACGACAACGTCATCAGAGAAGCGATGCCTACAAGATGGGTACACAGGAAGAAAGGAACAGGAGTACGAAGCCGAATCGTCGCAAAAGGCTACACCGAGAAGATCGAAGACGAAGACTCCGTCTACGCCTCTACACCAATGTTCACGACACTCCGGACACTTCTCGCACTACAAATGTCACGACCAAACTGGATCGCACGACTAGGCGACGTCTCTACAGCAGTTCTACACGCACCCATCGCAAAAGACCACGACGGTAAACAACGTGACGTCTACCTTTGGCCACCTAAAGAACTTTGTCCACAACAGGACAAAATCTGGCGACTAAAGAAAGCCATGTGTGGACTACGCAGCTCACCGAAAGCATGGCAGGACTACCTGGCCGAAGTGTTACAAAAGCTCAGCTTCGTAAGGCTAAAGTCAGAACCTAACGTCTACACCACTGCGACTCGCGACTGCTACATCATGGTCTACGTGGACGATCTACTAGTACTTGGAGACAAGACCGCAGTCGACTCCACTTTCGAGGCCGTCCAGAAGCAGGTACTACTCAAGCACATCGGCTACCTCGAACCTGGCAAACCACAACAATTTCAATGAACAACTGCAACTCAGTGAACACTCCAGGAATTGCACACTACAAACCAACAATAGAAGATGAAGCACTACTTGACCACGAACAACACAAAAGGTACAGAAGGATTGTTGGCAAACTTCAATGGTTAGCATACACACGACCAGACATTGCATACTCCACAAAAGAACTAGCACGAGACCTCACAGCACCTACAGAACTTTCACAAAAGAGAGTCAAACATCTACTACGCTACTTGCACGGCACCAAGCACTACAAATTCACCATAGAACCAACAACAACACTCAGAGCAAACACCAACAACATCCTGGATCTCGACGTTCATGTCGATGCCGACTGGGCAGGATGCCCTACTACCAGGAAACCAACTTCAGGTTTCAACATCATCTTTCTAGGAACAACAGTTGCATTTGGCAGCAGAACACAAGCTACAATAGCACTTAGCTCAGCAGAGTCTGAACTCTACGCCATTTGCACAGGAGTTAATGAGGGACTACACCTCAGAAACTTCCTACTTGAAACCAACATTTGCAGCAAGCTAAACCTACGCATCCACACAGACTCCACAGCAGGCAAGAGCATTGCTACACGACAAGGCACTAGCAAACGAGCAAAACACATCGACCTCAAATTCCTCTACACACAAGACCTCATCAAGCACGACATCATCAGAATCCTTAAGATCAACACACTCCACAACAGCGCAGATTTGTTTACCAAATACATCAGCAAAGAAACACTACACAGGCTCATCCAGAGCATTGGAATACGCATTTAGCACTACGAACGACCAGCACAGCAGTTTCACAACAACAACAATGACTTTGGACATTTCATGTATGTAAGTAGCTACATGTAACACGACACTTTTGGTATGTAAGTAACAGTAACTACATGTACTTTCACTTGCACTTTTGGCGGCTTGAGTCAACACTACAGTTGTTTGTTTTACATGTCTGCATGCGCCGCTTGCCTGGTAGCAACTACTTAGGCTCATTTGTTTTGCCCCGTTTCACTACATTTTGCATTCCACTGCAGCCATGGCCGCTCCATCTACTGCAGATGCTACGATGGGAGATGCCACTACGCCCGACAGGGCAACTACACCTGAGGTGGCGGTCACTACGGACTCCAGTGACCACGGAACTCCACCACCTCAAACCTACAACGACTCCAACTACACTTCAACCATTCTACACCCGGCAACACCGTCTACTACAACCCGACCACAGTGATGGACCAACTACACATCACTGAGCACCAGACAACCACTGCACCACCACTGCCCGACAACATTCCCTACACTCAATTTTTCACTGCATTTACACTTGAAGAATATCAACTACTTTCACAACAACAAGCTACTCCACTGGCACAACTGGACTACACGCGACCCATTCACTGCATCCCTGGAGATCTTCGGATGCCCCACTACAACTCCACACTGCTCAGCGTTTCACTACCTGAAGCAGCCAACGTCCACTACTACCACACGACTTCACTCCACACTACAACTGGCGACAACACCAACTACGTCATCATCCAACTCCAGATTGAACAACCACTACTCCTGAGGTACCTCACTTCAGGACAATTTCTACACTTCACAAGGGACTACATCTCCTACATGATGTCGGTACAACACAACTACTACCTCCCGACTACAACACTGCCACAGACCATCTTCAAGGTGAACTACAACATGACCACCTTCACTGACAACTACAGCCTCAGGAACAACTACGTTTGGAATTACCACATGCCACTACTTCTACCTGAACTACTCCATTACCTTTACAACCGAGACCAACTACACGACTTCCAGCACAAAGCAATCACTACAATCCTCTGCAAAAGCATCCAATACTACGGATTCACACTACTCACAATGACCAACCTCACACAACACCACAAAGCACTACTACACCGCTTTCTACGGGACTACGACCAACACATGTCGTGTCCCGAGATTGATGATGAGCGACTACGGGGAGCTCCAAACTACATGACAACCTTTTTCACCACCAACTACTACGCGACCTTGGACAGTCGACTACAGATGGTCCAAGGCCTACCGCACCCAGAAATGGGGACTACATTTTTGAGCTCCTGCTCTACTACAACGAGTGCCTGCCTTCACTACTTCCGTCCAGCGCCCTACATCGAGCTGGAACCTGAACAGCGTGAACTACTGAGCGCAGGTCACTACTTTTGCCAATACAGTAGAATTGATGAACAACAATGGTTTTCATCACTACTGTCAATCCATGTTTTGCACTTCAGTTGAAAAGGTACTACAAAGACCTTTTAACTGAGGGGCCGTGTCAAACTACATGCTTCACTTTGCACTCTTGTTGCATGTATGTTCACTACCGCAGGCCTTGAGCTTACTACTCCGCATGAGTCAAAAGGTTGGCAGCTGCAGACTACATTGGTTGACTGTTTGTTTGAACACTACAGCACTTGCACTTGTAAGCAAAGTAACAACTGATTTTAACGAGATAGAGAGAGAGAGAGAGAGAGAGAGAGAGAGAGAGAGAGAGAGACAGAGTGAGGGAGATTGAGGAGAGAGAGGCTTGGGGGGATGGGGGGGATGGGGAGCAGAGGGAGGGAGAGAGGACGACAGAACACACAAGGGAGACAAGGGAGAGAGAAAGAAGGAGAAAAGGGAGAGGACAATGTCGGCGGACTGAGCCGGAGGCTCTAAAGTATCTATACTTGTCAAATATATATATTTATCCAATTCTTTATGTATGCAGTAGCATGTACGCAGTAGCATGCAGCAATGCAACATGGAATTTGCAGGCAGCATGTGTGGTGTGAGGCACAGTTTCTGGAAAACAACATGTCGACGCAAGAAGCACCATGATATAACACAACTCAGTTCATTTTTGGAAGGCGCGTGGTGTCCCTTCTTCACGCGTTTTTCCAAGGGCTGTGCGTTAATCAGTGCTCAACATTACATCCAAATGTTCAAGGCAAGACTCGAGGTGCATGATGCCTTCAGCAACACTTGCCTCAAAGATAACGATCCTTCCTCCACTACGCGGCGTAGTGTGAGGCGCAACACGGTAGACTCTGAGCGCCTGCCCGGGTCGATGAACTTGCAACCGGAAGGGAACAGGCGGGCCGGAGTAGAGCTCCACTTCGAGCTTGTATCTAAATGGACCCGGCTCCTGCATGTACAAGTTCTCCTCGGAACTCTTGTGGGGTGTCCCTCGGTCGTCAATGTCCAAGTTTAACCTGCATAGCTTATCTTCTGTGCACCCACACTCTTTTTCTTCGTGGTAAACCTGCATATTGCATTCTGGGCAAGTCATGCACATATCCAAGTCTGTTCGTTTTTCACCATTCTGCCAAGATAGGCTGGCCCGAAATCCTGCATGCGTAATCCCATCTCTCTGGAATACATTGTTGCTCGTCACAAAGGCTTCAGCTCCCTCAACCAAATCGTCTGCCAGCTTCACATGAGGGTCATCCCGCAAATGCTTCACAACCTCGGTCACCTTCTCTCGCGTGTCCCAGTTCAAGTCGCAAGCCTCCTGCAGGTTCAGAAGGCTCGCCTGAAGAGCCGTGGGCGCCCCGCTAGTTGCTTAAACACTAGCTGCTTTAGCAACCACCTTTTTTTTGTTGCCCGTCAAAGGAAAACCAACGGCTAGTTGTTTAAACAAAGTTTGCCCGACCCTGCTCACCTTGGCCTCTTTGGTCTCTTTGGTCTCTTTGGCTTCATCTTCGAGGTCTCCCAGCACCAGCTTCTCATACTCACTGCTGACTGCAGAGATTTCAGTCGCAGAGACCATCTGGGACAAGCTGGACAGCATGTCCGCAGCATCTTGCAAATGACACGTGGCTTGCTGCAATCCATCGACGGCTGCTCGCATGAGGAGCTTCTGCAGAAGTGTCCTGATGCAAAAGGCTAGATGCTTTAACTAACACTCTTGGATGCTTTGCGAGAGATGCCTCGCTAAGTCATTAAGGCAGCAAGTTGCTCAGGCCAAAACAATTCAGACTACCACCGACTAAACACTGGCCTGCCGGCCTGCCCCTACAAGAAGCCAGTGTTGCCCCAACACAGCCTCACACGGAGTCAAATGCGTTTACACCACAAATATATCGACAAACACCTACGGCTGCGCCTTACGCCTCACGAGCAAGCTTCGGCTTCCAACAACATCAGATCTACCGCAAGGTATAGATTCAAGGGTTACCGGTTTGGGGCCCAAAAGGAAACAACAAACCGTCCAAGTGCGCTGCTCGCACATTTTCACGCTTGAACAGCCACACTGCGGATGCAATGGATGTAAAACCCCATATTGACCGATCAAATTCTTCACCCCCCTCTGCGTGTTAAAGGGGCCTTTCACAAAGCAGCCAAACAGTAACACAACAGATGGAGAAGGTCAGGGGAACCATTGTTTCATGCAAACCATGACAGTTGCGCTTTCAGCGCCGCTGCCAAGTCGAATAGCTTCCGCTACTGTCACCCCATCCGCTCCATTCGGACCAGTTCTGCCAGCTGCCACGGCTCCAATGCACACCCTCGCGGGCGGCGGGAGCGCTCGGCTCGGCATAGCGGGCTGCATTGCGAGCAAGGTGCTTGCTGCTTTCGTTCCTCGAAAATTCAATCGAGTTACGTGCATACCGCTCATTCTGGCTGAAAATCCAGTCCATCTCGTTGCGGAGGTCGTCCAACGTGTTGCCTCGCAGATGGATGATGCCATTCCAACAACCGATGCTGCGAGGCTTGTCTTGCTCAAAAACCACGTTGATGAAAGCTCTTGGACTATAAGGCATCCCTTGGAACATTATGATCCAGCGAGAGGAAAGCGCATCTTGAAGTTCATTGGGCAGGAACTCCAACTCTGTCTTGATATACGCGAGCCTTGCGATTCGCGACTCCGAAGTTGATCCAAGGCCAACTCCCAGAGTGCGCTGGGCCTGCGACTGGACGGTCTTCGTGATGTTGTCATCACTGAAGCACATATGATACCTGTCCAGCAAATCGATGGTCTCGACAAAGGGCGTGGCATCTACGTACACGAACATATGATTGGGGTCGCCGATGATGTAATCCCGGACTTCCGTCATGTAACGGTCCCAAATCATAGAGAAGCCGTAGAGATAGCTTTTCGCGCCGGTCATGACTCCAAGGCATGCGCAGCCCTTGCGGGCCGCGAAATCCCTGGTCCAAGCCAGGTGCCTCTTGGTGTCTGCCAACAACTGAGTGGCCTCGCCGGCGGGGGTGTCGTACGGATAGGTACCGCTGGGCTCAATGCCGTCCTTCCCAACAAGCTCATTGCCGTTCCAATAAATCATCGGAACGATGGTCGCCGTCGGGTAGTCCGTGCGCACCTCGTCGATAAGGGCGGCCAACCGCTTGCAAAGCTGTTGCAGGCCTTTGCCCCAAAGCATTTCTGACCTCCATGCACCGACACGCGCCGGGCGAGAAGCATCCAAACGTTCTGTAAAATCATATTTGCGGAGCTTCTTCTTCTTGCCCGAAACCATTGACAGTCCTGAGTCAGCGACAGTCACATAGATAAGGAGGTCGCGATCTGGTACACGTGGGGCCTGCACAACCTTCAAATAAGGTTCGCTAATAGTTAACAGGGGTGTAAGCAACTGCAAATAATGCGGTTGGTCCTGCACCCATGTATGGATAAGCGACTGTGCAGAGGTCGTCTCCAGGAGGCCCTTGACCGTAGCGGCGAGGTTAACGTCGTACTTGCCGTTCGTGCATACCGATGTGGTAGCAACATTCTCCATCCACCTCCTCCATGCCGGATCGCAATCCCTCGCGGGATGCGCCATAGCCGTTGGGCCGCTCATTGCGAAAACGATGCAGCACAATTACTCGAAAGCAACGGCTGCATGGTGGCATGTTCGGAAAATGCATTGTGAACGGCATCAGTGTAAATGTACGTGTATCCCTCGGCTTCCTTCAGGTGAGTGCCACGGCTTTCATCATGCTCGTGAGAACCATCACATTTGAAGTACTCAACAACGGAAATAGTGGGCATATTACTGGCAACGACCCATTGCTTTTTCATTGGTTTTCCAGTTCTCCCTTTAATGCCGATTTTGCAACCATGGAATTCATACTTGTTCATCTTGTACTTAGTTAAGAAACTCCATAGTTCAGGCCATTTCCAATAACGACACGCCTTGGGGAGTTCGAAGGCAACTCTAATGTCATCTGAATAAACATCATTGAGAATGCGTTTGAACCCTCTCAACAGTGATCGAAATTGCTTGATGTGGCCCTCAATCTTAGCAGCACCTTTGGGAGTTTGCTGGTTGACATAACCCCACGGGCAACCTCCAGTGCATGGCAACGAGACGTAGAACATGATTGCGCCCTTAGGATTCTTGCTCCTGAATTCGGCGATTTCACGGCCTAACCAATGCCTGCACGTATCGGAGCACCCGTCTTCGGTTTCCGTTACCCGAATGACACGGCAACCTTTTGAAGAGTCTCTTGATTCGCCCAACCGTGAGGTCGTCGAACAACAGAATTCAATAAGGAGGCGCTTGGGCTGAACGTTGCATAACGCAGCGATCTGCCCCCCCTGATCGCTAACTTCTCCGGCCTTGGCGCATGGGGAGAGCAGCAAACTGGTGGCACAGGCTCGCGCCTGGCGACTGGGGGAGATACCGATCAGCTCAAGTGCGTGGTGCCACACCGGGGTGCTGTCAAACGCCTTGGTCAAGATGTCTGCAGCTTGGAGGGTAGTGTCAACATTTATTCGAACTGCCTATTCACGAATTGCTCCTGGAGCCATCTAAAGCTAATGCGTTGGGTCTTATCCGTGCGCCTTAGCTTCTGTGAGTGTCCCTGCTGCAGGATAGTGATCGTGGCCTGATTGTCTTCCATCAGCTTGACTTTCCACTTATCACTGAGATGCACAGTTAGGGCATTGATGCTTGCTACACTTGTACCCGCATCAACATTTCCGTACCGAATTTCATCCAACTCGGGATCAATGCGAGCAACAATGCCATCGGGCACATCAAGGGAGGCTTTTCCAGCTTTTTGAGCATACCCATGTGCTTCTTTCCCAAACAGGCTGAGCTGACAGAAAAGCGACAGCGTCGGCAATCCCTCTGCTCTGAGCGCCTGGTTCGCAGCGATGACCTCGGCTTCAGTCGAGCTTGTTGCGGTCGCTGTCTGCTTCCTACTGAAGGCATTCAGTGGATAGTACGTGTTTGGCCCTACCAGTACCATGGTGCAACCAGTTGTACTATGCGAGTCATATTCGCCTGCCCAATCCGCGTCAGCGAACAACCACAACCTACAATCAAAGAACTTATCCCCAATAAAGCCTCGCATCTTAAGGCCCCTCGAACAGTGTATGTAAGACACAAGCCGATGTAGAGCGCTGTCGCACTCAGTGGACCATTTACTCACACGCGAGGCAAGGCTTTGCGTGGCTCTTAGCAGGTCATACCTAGCCATGCCGGCTGCGAATAGAATCTTCATTATAGTACCTTTGCAGCGATAGTTTGTAGCCTGCCCTTTGGCTCCTCTTCATTTACGACAGGTCTCGCGACCTTCGAACCAATGAATGGAGTGCTTACGTTACTCAACGAGGAAACGTTCACCTTGGCAAGTTCGCAATATGCGTCAACGCATGACTTGAGGAAATCAGACACGTCGTACTCAACAATGTTGACTTCTTTAGTCATACAACCAACAGGTTTATCGCATATCGTTTCGGGTCCTTTGAACTTCGAAACCTTGACTTCTTTCTTGGCCGCGGTTTTGTCTCTCATTGATCCAGGCTTTGAGGGCAATGCACATTGCAAAGCTGCTTCCTGATTCTCACCGTAGGAAAACACAGTACGTCCGGTCCACCACGCGGTGTCCGCAGAAATGCGATCACTTGCATGACGCGACCACTCATCGCAAATTGGACTTGATTTGGATTGATCTTTGATTGTCACACGCTGGGGGTCGAGGCTGCAAGCGAATGCACTCATTTGCTCCTTAGGACGGAAAAGGCACTTTCTGGGCTGCAAGTGATAGCGTGTCCACGTTTTCGTGTTCTCATCATGCTCCCAGTAGTCCTCAGTCCTTCTTTGAGAGCAAACACCCGCGTGTTGCGCAGAACCCTCAAACACGTGATTGAAAGGGTGATCCTCTTTAGACAATCTGACATTATTCTTTTCGATGTGATGACACCCAAAGTATCTGCCGAATGGCTCGGGCGCGTCGATCTCGACAACCTTCCCGATCAGTTCCCATCCCTTATCAAGGCTACCGGCGGGTCCTGCAAGCTTGAAGTCATCAACATATACGACGAGCAGCAGGTCGAGTTCCGGATGATGGAAAATGGATGTCCATATTTCGGGCAACACTCTTACAAAGCCTTGCTTGCTAAGGGCATCTTCGAGGTGCTTTTCCCAAAGCCCCCCTGAATCGGGATGTCCGTACAAAGCTAGCACAAGTGGAACAATGGGGTCAATGTATTGTTTGCTCTAATGGCTGGGCCATCTGTTCTTGGGCAATCTAAGCCATGTGGGAACGCCTTTGAACAGGGCTTGAATGTAGGCTTGCTTCGCATCGGCTTGCGCCTTGCGGTAGCCGGGCTGCGACCCGAAATCGTCGAGGATTTTGGCTGCCTCCATTGACGCTGGGCTGGACCCTAGCTCCGCAAATAATGCTGCAACAGAGTTTTCATCGTAAACATTGTTCCCTTGGAAAACGGTCCTTCCTTTGAATTCCTTGTTGGGATCATCATCGGGAAGCTCGCTACCCTTCTCGTAACAAGCCTCGAAAATCCTTCCAATGTGGACCTTTTCCCCTTTGTTCTGGGCTTCTCTGATGACGCGCCTACACTCATTTACTCTGAAAACTCATCCCAAGCGCCTTTCTTTCGAAGGTTTTCCCATTCCTTGTCAAGGGCAGCTTGGGCCTTTGGCGTATTGGCTACTTCGGCTTTTGGCACAAGCCTAGCAACGACTGCACTGAACAGTTCAAGAGCAACATCAAATTCAACTTTCTTGATTCGCTCTTTGACCAACTCACGCAATTGCGGGCGATGCGGCTCCTTTGATGACTTGTCTCGTTCCGGAAGAACGGACATCGCAGGCGCGTGCCGGATCACAGGCAATGTCGGCTCGCCCTCGCGGGCGGCGCTGGTTGGCTTTGCACTCGATGCGGCTTCGGGGTGCTCGGATCTGGCCTCGGATGAGACTGTTGTCTCGAGCACAGCCTTCTTGGCATCTGCACGGAGCTGATCTTCATACTGCTGGGTTAGGGCCTTTCGGTCCTGGCTGCCGAGCATGACCCACATGTCGGACGGGATATCGGGAGGCCTTTTGGATCCGGCCTTCCTACGGACGAGCCGAACCCCATCCCACACATAGCCATCGGGTACTGGTGACCCATCAGGCATTATGCTTGGGTCGAATGCACCGCCTTTGTCAGGCGCGACAGGCTTGATCTTCGCTTCGGATTTCTCCGATGCGGCAGGTCCCTCGATGTGGGCTTGCCCACGCTCCAACGGCACAGGGTCGTTTCGTGTCCTAGCATCGGCAACAGGTGGATGAGATGCAGGGTCTTTCAACAACCTCATCGGGAAGATGAACTCATCAGTCGGAAGCTCAATGCGCTTTGTTTGCTGTACCGTGAGGGACGCATGTTCGATGTGGTAATCGAGCCCTTCTAGTTTTGCAACAAGGAACTCGCCTTTCCATGCGAACCCAGGCTGAATGTGGTACCCGAGAAACACGCCTTCATTTGATGTTGGCGAAGTCTTGCCTGCCTGATTGTCAGCTCGTGCAGGGTTGTTCCAGAACAGTACCTTTGCTCCGAAAGGTATCTCAGCTTCATCAAAGGTCTTGTGAAACCTGAGGTACCATGGCGAATCGTTTCCGTTCAACTGTGGCAGGATGTTGGTCGCAACTGCATTGTGCTGGATGGCAAATGGCCACATCGACAGTGGGAACCCTGACTGAACAAGATTCGCACGTGCTCCCTCCAACAGATGTCTGATTTCCCTTTCCACGAAAGATTTGGAAGAATCAACATATTCAATGGAGGTCTGATGACGGTACCCCAACTGCTCTATTGCGGCTTTCAATTCCCGGGAGTTATCGGTGTAGAGAACCTCAACCTCATCCCTACCGGAAATGAAATGCTGGATCCCTGCAACGGATTGCTCCGTGCTTTTGCTGGTCGACGGATAAACGTACCTGAACTGCGTATGCACGTCCTTGATCACAAGAGCACACAATTCACCTTTGATACCTTGCTCGATGTTGGCCTTGAGGATCACATGATCAGCAATGATGTGATCTCCAAACGCTTTCGTCTCGAGCCTTCCCTGCCCGCCCTTCGATCTTGCAAATGGGGCAAGCATCTTGGCACGTTGGCAAGTGCGGCAAAAGGGATTCTTCGGATAGTGTGCAAACAAGCGCTCTTTGGTACTCGCTTCGGCAGCCAGATCTTGCTCTTTGCGGGATCTCACAAACCGCTCAACTTCGTCGTCAGGATCATCACCTTCGTCGATGCCTTCGTCATGAACCGGTGCAGGGGCTGGCTTGGATGCTGCTACTGCACTCAATGATGGCTCAGCTTCACAACTAGAATCCATGTGTGGCACATGACCGTCAACCTTGAGCTGGATCAGAGCACCATCAGGGCGAACCATGGTTGGCGCCTTCCCGGATTCCCAATGAAAGGAATATCCTTGATCCAGACACTTCACACCCAGCGACAGCACTGCGGGAGAACTTTCGAGGATGTAAGGCTGAGCAGGCTCACACAATGCATCGACATTGATGTCGGCGATTTCGGAAGCAGTGATGTTTCCGTTTGCAGTCACAAGGCGAATAGGCTGAGGGGCCTGTTTCCGAATTGCCTTGGACGCATTACTCAGTGCAGCTTTGCTGATGAGGTCCTGCTCACTACCGGAATCAATAAGCCACACATCCTTTCCCTTTGGTGCAGGGGTGGCTGCCCTTGGCGCTTCGACACCCTTGCGAACATCGTGAGGCGGCATGGCAATTCTCAGGCACTCATCACACGATAGGCTTGAGATGGAATCGGGTTCCACATCGCACATGAAACCACAAGCGGGCTGGGCTCCATTCTCAATGGCTTTGATTACGGCATTCAACTGGTTCGCGGCCTTGCGCGCTGCCTTGTTCGTCCCTTTGGTCGGCCGAGGGCAGTCCTGAGCACTTGGAAACATCCTGTTGTACTGCCGTTCCTCATACTCAAGCTTGAAACCATCGCCTTCGGCGGGGATCTCATGCACATGAGCATTGGTGTCGAATGACACTCCGATTGGATCAATCGGCTTTGCGAACATGGCGTACCTGGTGCAGACTGCAGCGGCTTGGGCCTTGGGCTTAGGCTTAGGTGAATTTGCACGCTTCTTAGCCGCAGGATTTGCATTGGCCTCGTTGCTCGATGCCGCGGCGGCAGATTTGCCGCCCGTGGAGGCATGGCTAAACTTGCATTTGTCACCTCTAGTGCACTTCCCTTGGGCAAAGAAAGAACACGGTGCTTTCTCTCCTTTGTTGCCTTTGGGGGAACTCGGCCTGCCACGGGTCGCGGAGCGTCCTCGCGGCTCCTTGCGGTGCGCGTAAGGGCAGTTTGCCCCCCTCGTGCACGAGCCCTTCTGGAAGTCAAAGCAGTACTTTTCCTCGGTGTCCTTCGGCTTAGGTGCGCTCTTTTTCTTGGGGTCCCTCCTTTCAGGGGCGGCAGCACCGGCCTTGGGCGTCGGGGCTTTACTGGCATTGACTTTGGACACGCGCTCTCGGTTCTCGCGAAGCCTATCCCTCTCGATTAGATCCCTCATGCAACGCATTAGGAAATCGTACGATTTGTTGGGATCATCATCACGGCAACGATCATATGTGTCAATGTCGTACCGCAACAGATGGCAGCTTCTCACTTGGCGAAGCAAAATGTCTTTCAACACCTTTTCTTCCGGCGGCCTTTTCATGCCGGCGATCACGGAATCCCAAGCGTTTAGGAAACGTTTGAGATCAATGATTCCTTCGCCGTGTCGCGAGACACGCAACAGGTCCTCCAAGGAGTTGAGGTTTCCGGCTTCTTCACTGGTCTTGAAATATTGGTCAAACATAAACAAGACCTGCCTTCCTCTCATGGCCTTTCCCTCCTTGGCACATTCTTCCTTCGCTGTTAGGATTCGCTGAGCCAGATCGCCTTTCGCTGAACGCGTGAGCGCTGCGAGAATCTTCGTGTCTAGGGTCACGAATTTTCCCGGTTCGCCGAGCTCCTCCAACAGCTTCTTCTTGTCCTCGCGATCGGACCAGACTTCCATGATCCAAGGCCAAGCCTCGTCTGGACGGTCAGATGCAGCGCGGACATCCTCACGAACCGATGTCTTCCATTCACGGTACGTTTCAGGAGTTGGCATCTCCTTGAATCGCAACGTCTCGCTTTCGCGGGTTCTGGGCTTTTCATCGTTCGTGTGGCCTTTCACTGACTTCATCAACATTTTGGCGAATGCTTCTTGACCAAGGTTAGGCCCGAGGCCATCACCTTCATCTTCATCACCATCGCCATCATCATCACGTCGCGGACCGCCAGGAGGCTTACCACCCTGCTTGCGGTCACTTGGCATTGGCCCCTGAGAGAATTGCAGGGGCGGGACCGGTGCACTTGTTTTCACCGGGGATCGGCTGCTACCTGATGGCTTTTCAGCTGGTCCTTGCGGATCGCGAGCATCTGTGGGCAGTGCTTCGCATTCGGCAGTTGGAATCACGCTAGGGGTATATTCAACCCCGTAACCGTCATAGGTAACAAGCGACCTCAACTTTTCCTTTGCATATTGAAATGGATGGGACAACGGGTCCAACATTGACCTTTGGGACCGAGCTGACTTCCTGTCGTCGGTCATCAACTCTGGTGAATCCTCTCGGGTATCACCTACCCCTTTGGGCTTCGATCCATCCTTGCGGAGGTTGTGATGCTTCTGATACCTCTTCAGCTCATCGAGCTCGTCCTGCAGAAGCCCGTTTTGGTAGGCCATCATATCGATCATCCTGGCGTTTTTCGCCTCGACACAGGCTGTGTCGTCGGCGTGCTTTGCGGCTTGCTCATGAAGGAGCTGCTGGGCTTCCGCCAGGGTGGATTCGATGGCTTGCCTAAACTCAGTTGTTTTGTGTCCCATTTCCGCTTCATGCAATGCTTGGGCATTTTCCTCACACACTTGGCTTATCCTAGCTTCAGCGAAGTTCACTTCTTGGATGAACTCATCGCTCACTCGCTGTTCGTATTCACGAATTCTATGCGACTGGGCTTGCACACACTCAGCGTAGTGTGCATGCAGCTGATTTTGTGCGACACGGAGCTCCTCACGGTTTTCCGCTTGCAAATGCGTGACAGCTGCTTGATGCAGGGCTTCGGCTTCAGACCTAATGGCTGCATCATTCCCAAAAGCAAAGATTGCGGTATTGTACAGTTGAAGGGAATTCATCAGGGTGCGGTTGTACTGCGCATTAGCGCTTGATGCGAACATTCGCACACCGCCGCCGGTGGCGTTGTCGGAGCTAGCTCCGGCAGCATCCACAGGCATGTTGGAACCATCAACTGGCACAAGGGAACCGTCCATTGCTTAGAGCTAGGGGCCTACGGCTGATAACCTATAGATTCAAGGGTTACCGGTTTGGGGCCCAAAAGGAAACAACAAACCGTCCAAGTGCGCTGCTCGCACATTTTCACGCTTGAACAGCCACACTGCGGATGCAATGGATGTAAAACCCCATATTGACCGATCAAATTCTTCACAAGGCTCTGAAGAAAAGATAGCGGCCCGCCCTCGCCCCTCAAGCACCGCCAAGCATCAGCTCTTGCCTGAGCTTTGCTTCGGATAATGCCCGAAGTTGATCATGCGACAAAGGGATGGACCTTCGTCGGTATCTCCGGATCTTGCGCTTTGTTCCGGTTGAAGTGTTGGCTTGCTTCATGTGGAGGAAGTCCACGTTATATGAGAAATAGTCGCTCCGAACGCCTAAAAGCTTGCTCCTTCCCTCATGTCCACTGTTGAGCCATTCTTGGAAAGCATGCTCTAACATGGCTGAGCCATCCTCAGACCACAGATACCAGCCATCTTCCTTCCCATCCACGCCATCATCAACCCAGTACTGCCAGCCCATCACACAATTCAAGAGGCGCAAATCAATCTCGGGCATCAGCTGCTCAAAGGACTCCTCGTGTGGGCCAGCCTTGATGTACGGATTTGCGCCTGCCAGTAGAAGGGATTCAAGTACAGCTAAAGCCTGTTCTGTCTTCCCGCTTTCCAGGCATTGTAGCGCGACGGTCGTCAGTGGCGTGTTTCCAGTCTGCATGTCAATCTCATTGGGTAGGGCGCCGTGATCCAAGCAAACCTTCAAAGGATCCACGCCGGTCTCGTTCGGTTCGGCTGCCAGGCTGCTCACCACTTCATTGATGATGGAGCTGTGGGATTTCGATGTGTCTACCAAGTCGGGATGCGCTTGGGCCCAGGTTTTGAATTCTTGCCAGTTCTTCTGGGTGATGATGTCCCAGACCGGGGGCAAATCGGCGAGCTCTAGCTCGATAACCCACTTCTTTGGGTTGGCAGGCTGTTTGTTGTAATTGATGTTGTGGACCCGTAACATGTAATGAGGGGGGATCAGCACTTCATTCTCATCCGGGAAGCAAGACCATGGCTTGATAGATGCTGGAAAGTACCCCTGTATTTCGTTTGGGTCTTCTGTGCTGTCCCGGCAGCGGATGCAGAACGTCAAGCCAGTAAAAGCATCATTTCCGCCCTTGTCCGCCTCGCTGGTGGAAAAGAAGGCCGGCCAGCAAACTTTCTGGTTGATTTGGTAGACTTCGGCTTGTTCCTTGGTGAGCTCGCATCTTTTCACGAGTTTTTTTGCCGAGCCAATGAAGAAGTTGAAGCCAGGCAATGGGTCGCTCTGCCCTCGCTTGAAAACCCCTCGCAAAGCCCGAATGTACGGCGCATGTCGCCTGAGTTCTTCAGCATCATCTGTGTACATCGCCTTGTCTGGATCGTCCAAAAATTGGGGGATCTCCAATCTCAATCTGTGAGCCATGTGAAGCACCACTTCAAGAAGGGAAACCCATGCATTGTGGAATAAGGACTGAGGCTTGATGTTGAACACCCCAGCCTTGTTGAGCCTGGGGTAGATTTTGTTTGAAGTGTAGAGCTTCACCAGCACCTAGCGGCGCGAAACGGTTTGAGACTGGAACCCCTCATCCGCCGAAAGGAGCCGTTGAAACATGTGCCACAGTCCCTTCCTGCAAATGGTTTGGGCGCCGCAACTTGATATTTCAAATCGCCCGTTTAGTGCAGGACTTAATGCCCGAGTTGTAGCCAGGGCAAAATCCCAGTTTGGCGCATTGGAATCGCAAGGCGCGCTGGAGCCACAGAAAAGCAACGGGACCCCAGCCCCGCTGCATGAAGAGGTGAGTCACCAAAACTGACTGCCAACAAGCTGAAAGCATCATGGATCACTCGCGTATCCAAAAACCGTCGGCCGGAATTCATTGATTTGGAACAGACCCGCCGGCATCAAAACTTGGCCTTCTTGCGCTCCACAGGGTCGGCTGGGAGCTCCACCCCCACGCTGTCAAGAAACGCAGTCAGATTTTCCTCCTCCGTGTCCTCGTCAAAGAACTCCACATTTCTAATGAAGTTGTAGGTCATCCTGAAAGTGCAGCCAAAACTTCCCTGCGAGCTACCCTTCACTGTTCATGTTGAAGACGCTGGTGGAGAATGTGATTCGCGCGCGAATCTTCGAATCCCGAATCCCGAATCCCAAATCCGAGGCTGGGGCCTTCCCAGTCCTGAATCCCGAATCCCGAAAATGTGATTTCATCCCGCAATGCGATTAGATCCCCAAAACTGCGCACGACCTCCGGATCACCACTCCCCAAGGACAATTTGTTGGAACCTTAGACGAGGTCTGCGAGCAAACCTGTTGCCCAAAGCTACTGTTGACCAATTGTTTCTTCTGTCTGTCCATCTGCCTGCCTCATCCACGCACCGATTTCCGCGCGTTTGCGGGCGGCATCGGAAGAATACCAAAACTGCGTGGAAGCGATTTTGTGACTGACGAACCAAAAGCTTGAAGGGGACGTTGTCAATCACACATTGGACACTTTTGAGAAGCTAATGTTGCGGCAGCTGTGACTTACAACCGGTGATTCAAGGTGACTTTGGCACATCGGAATAACATGCGAAAGAATTAAAGGTGATACGATGTGAAGGAAGATGTGGATTTGATTCAATTTGGGAAAGAGCCCTTCGCAAAACAAAACTTACACAAAACACGATCCAATGAAATCAATTGCCTTCAAAACAACGACAACACCCACAACACAACACAAGAATACAGATACAAAGCAATAAACTTGCTGGTGCCCAGTTGTTGGGAATGAACCCAGGGGTCCCTTAAAGGAAACCACCAGTTGGATTGTTTTTCCTGAATTCCTTCAATTTCTCCTGAGCACCAGAAAGGAACGCATGCAAATCATCACACATCATGACCAAGTATTTAAAAAAAAAAACACCTCAGATCGCCTCAGCATCAACAATCTAAAGCCAACAAAAACAAAAAGCAAGACCCGCCAAACGCCATCCGCAAGATCACAAGATGCGGCGAGGTGCCCACTGGTGGCCTTCTCGGACGGCACCACGGGGCCCACCGCCAAGCGCCGCACCTCCAGGCCTTCCTGGAAGGGAGTTCTGTTTGTTTGTTTGTTCTACTTTTCTTCTTTTTCCCCAACAGCTGAAAGCTTTGGGGTCTCAGATAGGCTCCGGGTGGTTAAGGTTACACGAGGGTTCCACCAGGGTTCCACTGAGGTTCCACGAGGGGCTGCGTGGTGGTGCGGGCACTAAAAAGAGCACCGCGTGCTGTTGGGGATATAACCTGAGTTCTTTTTTTCCGGTTTGTTTCTTCGGCCAAGAAAAACGGGCCCAGCGGTGGCAGTCTCCAGGTTAAGCCCAAAGACCCAAAAACAGTCTCCTCAGGGCGTTGGGCGACTTTTTCTTGGAGGATCGATCTCCTGCTTTCACTGTTTCTTGTTGGATGTTTTGCCGAATGGAATGGATCTAAGGCACTGAGTTGGACCACCCCCACACGTGACAATTTGGACATGGTTCCCGCTAGTTCCCCGTAAAACGCAAAACGCCCCCCCCCCCCCATTTACAGGAAACCAACCCAAATGGGCCAACCACGACAACCACCACAACAACCACAACAACCACAACCACCACCACAACAACCAAAAAAACAACAACCACAACCACCACAGAAACCACAACAACCAAAAAACCACTAACCACCACAGAAACCACAACAAGCAGAAACACAGCACAACAACCACAGCACAACGACACCAACCAACAACCACAACCACAACAATCTCAACAACCACAAACCACAACCACAACCACAACCACAACAACAACAACAACAACAACAACAACAACAACAACAACAACAACAACAACAACAACAACAACAACAACAACAACAACAACAACCACCGGAAAAACGATGCTGGACCGACTGATGAGGGAAATAGGTCGCGGGGTAACCACGACTAAGAAGGAGTAGAAGGAGAGGGAAGGAGAGGGAAGTGAAGAGGAGGGAAGGAGAAAGAAAGTGAAGGAAGGAGAAGGAAGGAGAAGGAAGAGGAGGGAAGGAAGAGGAGGGAAGGAGAAGGAAGAGGAGGGAAGGAGGAGGAGGGAAGGAGGAGGAGAAAAGGAGAAGGAAGAGGAGGGAAGGAGAAGAAAGAGGAGGGAAAGAGGATTGAAGGAGAAGTTTCAAACACGGTGCGAACGGTGTTTTCGGGACCCAAAAATGCGTTTCGGCCCGTGATTGAAACTTTCGTGTCGCCAGCATCCTGCGCTGTTCCATCTTTCATGTTACAGTGGAAGGAGAAGAACAAAAAGCAAGAAGCAAGAAACACATGAAAGAAGACACATGAAAAGAACAAAAAGCATCATTCCTTTTCCTTTCCTTCCTTCCTTTTCCTTTCCTTCCTTCCTTTTCCTTTCCTTCCTTCCTTTTCCTTTCCTTCCTTCCTTTTCCTTTCCTTCCTTTTCCTTCTCCTTCTTAGTTCCTGCCTTTTCCTTCTCCTTCTTAGTTGGTGTTACCCCCAAAGTTAGTCGAGGTACCCCAAAGTTAGTCGGTGTTACCTGAGGCTTGTCGTGGTTACCCCCTTCCTGCGCTTTCAGCTTCCTTGTTTTGCGTGGATCCATAACCGGCTCAACATCACTACCATCTGGCATTAGAAGCAAGGATTCATGATTGAAGAACCTGTTCTGTGACACCAAGCCCATCCCTTTCTTTTTGTCACTGTCAAGGGGTTGTTGAAGGGAAATCACCTTCAAAGGTGGCAACCCAAAACCCGCTTTCCCATGCTTCCTTGCCCGGCTCTTTCACCGCGTAGACCGTCAGAACGGAGCCCAAGCCCTTGACCCGATTCAAGCCATCGAAGCCAGGGCCCACCAAAATGTCGTCCATCGCTGCCAAGCCATGGTCCTCCTTCCCAGGGCTCAGCATTTCACTTTTGCTGGCTCTCGGGGAACGAGGGAAGCCGGTACCTAAACCATCCCTTGCGGTTCCTGGCAATTTTGCGGCTTTCTGATAAGTTGGGGGAAACACGCCACCACCCCGGGAAGGCTGAGATGGAAGGGGTTTGTTTGGGGAGTGATATGTTCGGGGCTTGGTATGACTGGCTTTATGAGGATTGCTGCCATTACCAAAGATGCGCCCAGAAATAACAAAAACATAATAAAGCAAGACATTTAAAACTCCACCCTCGGTGAGAACAACCACGAATAGATGCGCCCAGAAATGAGAGCCGGGTCAAACGATTCAAAATCAACGCCCGGTCCCGATCAACCTCCATTCTGCAGCTCACTGTCGGGTCCGACCGAAGCGTGTGGGTAACCACGGACTCGTTCATTGCTGCCTGCGATGCCCGTGCAAAGCGAATGCCAACGCGTAGCATGCACATAACATACACGACACACGCACTCACACGGTGACAAGGGCGAACCATAACAAAGGGCGAGCAAGATACACCACAGGCAAAACAACACGCATCTGACTGATGTGGAGAAGCTGGGCAAAATGTAGCGTACGCAATCACCATAGGGCATCCTACAATGCAACACAAATGATGCCGTACATAAAGCAAACTCGCGATGCACATATCACGTGGAGCGCAACTGCAGAAGAGATCACACTCATCCTGGCTCCCTTTCTTGCAAATGTCGACTTCTTGACAGCTATGGCGACTCTGGCAGGCTGAAACTTACCCTTCGCAGATTGGACGGGTCGACCAAGGCCGTGCACCCTCTGGCTTGCGCGAGTGCGAGCGCCCAACTGCAAGTTCGTGCTGCATCCTCTGCAAAGAAAGTGTTGGCGCGCAAAACTGGGAGGAGACAACCTATCAATCTCCCTCCTGCAATCGCCAAAGTACACCCCAGCGCCTCGCTGCCTTGCCCAGCATCACAGAAACGAGAGACGCGCAGTCAACTTGATGTACAAAGACCTGACGAAAAAGGAAACACCAACGAAATCCAAGCCATGTTCAATCTCGCAAATTATGGACTTCGGATTGAAATTGCTGACGCATTATTTTCGCACAGGGCCTTTGTATTGACAACGTCGAATGCTTGCAGGTTGTCCGCTGAAGTGGCGTGCTCGCTCTTGAAATGTACTTTTCTTGAGCGGGTGAGGGACAGATTCGGAGTGCAAGTTTTGAAAGAACTCCAAAACATGCAATTGGGAGCTAAGTAAGGAAGTTCATCATGAGTGAACTCGTGTTACCCCGGAACCCAGGATGAAATCCCTGGCTTATTAAACAAAACAGGCGTCTCACTTCAGAAAAGATCCGGAGCAGGTTTTAGGGGAACATCCTCCCTAGGGCCTTTGCATAAGTTCACCCTCTGGGCACATGCGCAGGACATGAGGGCACATGTGTCGCACTGCAAGCTGCACATTCGACTCATCCGACTCATCCAACCCTTCCTCACCCCACCCCGCACCCATCTTTGCTTCTCTAGAGGTCCACGACCATATTATGTCATGTTGCTTGCGGGAGTGATTTCACCGCGAATTGTCACAAGGGATTGTCACGATCCGTCACCGTTGAAGCGCTTCCAACTAGCAGCTAGCGATGGAGATAACTGCGACGGCGCCGCACTTCACCAGCATTCGCATCTTTCTATCTTTCCAACTCCGACGTGCGTGGCCTTTTGCGGTACATTCAAAGAGAACCCTCTGAGGACTTACGATCGCTCTCGCGCCACCTCCAAAACTCGCGAGCTCTGCTTGCTGACACCATCAATCTGGCTGCGGCTCAAATAAGGCACCTTGGTAAATGGAACCAAAGACTAAAACCTGCGTAACCCTAGCTCTTGAATTTTGAGCCACGCCCATCTTGCCCAGAAACGCTCAACCTTCACCTCTTGCGCTGAAACGGAACATGCAGCTTGCTGCACGCACACGCGGCAAGCAACACTGCTTGGATTCGCCTGGCGGGGTATTTGTTTAGCTCTACTCAGCTTGCTTGTTTGGGCCCGACCTGAGCTGGGGGTTGGGATGCTTCACGGTTTCTATGGTGCATGTACCTACCAGCTCATGACTCGTGACACTTATTCAAAAACTAATTTTCAGACAGCCCATACGAACAGAAAAAGGAGCAAGCCTGCCTGGATGTACTTCAAGTCCGACTTGCTTGCTAGGGCGCCGAACTCTGACTGCACGTACTGCGAGGCTGCAAGCCGCACTTGTTGCAGAGGGCCTTTGGATGGCTTTTCGGCTTCAAAGGGGAAGAGGAACACCGGGAAGCCGCTCACCGAAGTGTGCTTGTGGTACACTGGCACCTGCGGAACATGCGTCTCTGGTGACTCCTGTGACTTCTGCGACTCTGAGTGATTCTTTTGCCGGCTGAATAGAATCTTCGCAGCGTTCGTGGAGTCACGCTTCACCTTGGTGCTGAATCTCTTCACAATGTTCAGCTAAGTTCAGGCCACCCCCCCCCTTTTCAGGCTAACATGAGGACAACGGGCAGCCCCAAGAGCAAGCAAGTCGCAATCTCCGCCCAAATCTGCCTCCGTGCCCCTGAGACCATTTCCGCCGAAATCTTGGCGAAGTCAACACCTCCGTCCAGCACATCGCTTGGCAGCGAGCATCCTAAAAGCTCGTGCTCAATCTGGGCTGCATAATCTAACAAGCTTTCCTCTTCCTCTGTGGGCTGCAACAAACAGCCCTTGTACATCTCCTGTAGCTGCAGGAACAGTTCATTCAACTCCTGGGAGACCACGCGTTTGACTTTCTGACTGGGTGTGGGAGACTCCTCAGCTACCATGAAGCAGCTTGGTGTCTGCAAGGGCGGGAATCCGCTCAGAGTACGGGCAACCGGTCCTGCCGCTCGCTTTGAACAGCCTTCAAGCAACACCTTTGCCGCATTGCTGAATTGCCCTGTCAGCCCGGTCAATTTCTGAATGTTTGCCCAAATCAGCTGTTGCGCCCTAGCAACCAAGTCCACTGCAGCTGCCGAATCAGATGCTTCCGGTGCTTCACGTAGGTAAGCAGCCCAAGCTGTCAGCTCCTGCCCGACTTGGCTAGCAAATTCCAGAACTGCTGCTTCTTCCGGTGAAGCCTGAATCACGGAAACTGGCTTGTACATCTGCTGCAGCTGCAGGAAGAGAGCACATAATTCCTGGGAGACCACGCGCTTGACTTTCTGATGACTGAGCGTAGGAGGCTCCCCAGCAACCATGAAGCAGCTTGGTGTCTCCAAGGGCGGGAATCCGCTCAGAGTACGCGCAACGGGTCCTGCTGCTCGCTTTGAACAGCCTTCAAGCAACACCTTTGCCGCATTGCTGAATTGCCCTGTCAGCCCGGTCAATTCCTGAATGTTTGCCCAAATCAGCTGTTGCGCCCTAGCAACCAAGTCCACTGCAGCTGCCGAATCAGATGCTTCCGATGCTTCCCGTAGGTAAGCAGCCCAAGCTGTCAGCTCCTGCCCGACTTGGCAAGCAAATTCCAGAACTGCTGCTTCTTCCGGTGAAGCCTGAATCACGCAAACTGGCTTGTACATCTGCTGCAGCTGCAGGAAGAGAGCACATAACTCCTGGGAGACCACGCTTTGTACTTTCTGACTGAGCATAGGAGGCTCCCCAGCAACCATGAAGCAGCTTGGTGTCTCCAAGGGCGGGAATCCGCTCAGAGTACGGGCAACGGGTCCTGCTGCTCGCTTTGAACAGCCTTCAAGCAACACCTTTGCCGCATTGCTGAATTGCCCTGTCAGCCCGGTCAATTCCTGAATGTTTGCCCAAATCAGCTGTTGCGCCCTAGCAACCAAGTCCACTGCAGCTGCCGAATCAGATGCTTCCGATGCTTCCCGTAGGTAAGCAGCCCAAGCTGTCAGCTCCTGCCCGACTTGGCTAGCAAATTCCAGAACTGCTGCTTCTTCCGGTGAAGCCTGAATCACGCAAACTGGCTTGTACATCTGCTGCAGCTGCAGGAAGAGAGCACATAACTCCTGGGAGACCACGCTTTTTACTTTCTGACTGAGCGTAGGAGGCTCCCCAGCAACCATGAAGCAGCTTGGCGTCTCCAAGGGCGGGAATCCGCTCAGAGTACGCGCAACGGGTCCTGCTGCTCGCTTTGAACAGCCTTCAAGCAACACCTTTGCCGCATTGCTGAATTGCCCTGTCAGCCCGGTCAATTCCTGAATGTTTGCCCAAATCAGCTGTTGCGCCCTAGCAACCAAGTCCACTGCAGCTGCCGAATCAGATGCTTCCGATGCTTCCCGTAGGTAAGCAGCCCAAGCTGTCAGCTCCTGCCCGACTTGGCTAGCAAATTCCAGAACTGCTGCTTCTTCCGGTGAAGCCTGAATCACGCAAACTGGCTTGTACATCTGCTGCAGCTGCAGGAAGAGAGCACATAACTCCTGGGAGACCACGCGTTTGACTTTCTGACTGAGCGTAGGAGGCTCCCCAGCAACCATGAAGCAGCTTGGTGTCTCCAAGGGCGGGTATCCGCTCAGAGTACGCGCAACGGGTCCTGCTGCTCGCTTTGAACAGCCTTCAAGCAACACCTTTGCCGCATTGCTGAATTGCCCTGTCAGCCCGGTCAATTTCCTGAATGTTTGCCCAAATCAGCTGTTGCGCCCTAGCAACCGAGTCCACTGCAGCTGCCGAATCAGATGCTTCCGATGCTTCCCGTAGGTAAGCAGCCCAAGCTGTCAGCTCCTGCCCGACTTGGCTAGCAAATTCCAGAACTGCTGCTTCTTCCGGTGAAGCCTGAATCACGCAAACTGGCTTGTACATCTGCTGCAGCTGCAGGAAGAGAGCACATAACTCCTGGGAGACCACGCTTTTTACTTTCTGACTGAGCGTAGGAGGCTCCCCAGCAACCATGAAGCAGCTTGGCGTCTCCAAGGGCGGGAATCCGCTCAGAGTACGCGCAACGGGTCCTGCTGCGCGCTTTGAACAGCCTTCAAGCAACACCTTTGCCGCATTGCTGAATTGCCCTGTCAGCCCGGTCAATTCCTGAATGTTTGCCCAAATCAGCTGTTGCGCCCTAGCAACCAAGTCCACTGCAGCTGCCGAATCAGATGCGTCCGATGCTTCCCGTAGGTAAGCAGCCCAAGCTGTCAGCTCCTGCCCGACTTGGCTAGCAAATTCCAGAACTGCTGCTTCTTCCGGTGAAGCCTGAATCACGCAAACTGGCTTGTACATCTGCTGCAGCTGCAGGAAGAGAGCACATAACTCCTGGGAGACCACGCGTTTGACTTTCTGACTGAGCGTAGGAGGCTCCCCAGCAACCATGAAGCAGCTTGGTGTCTCCAAGGGCGGGTATCCGCTCAGAGTACGCGCAACGGGTCCTGCTGCTCGCTTTGAACAGCCTTCAAGCAACACCTTTGCCGCATTGCTGAATTGCCCTGTCAGCCCGGTCAATTTCTGAATGTTTGCCCAAATCAGCTGTTGCGCCCTAGCAACCAAGTCCACTGCAGCTGCCGAATCAGCATCTGAAGCTGGCAAGTCAGACGCTTCCCGTAGGTAAGCAGCCCAAGCTGTCAGCTCCTGCCCGACTTGGCTGGCAAATTCCAGAACTGCTGCTTCTTCCGGTGAAGCCTGAATCACGCAAACTGGCTTGTACATCTGCTGCAGCTGCAGGAAGAGAGCACATAACTCCTGGGAGACCACGCGTTTGACTTTCTGACTGAGCGTAGGCTCGTCAGGCACCATGAAGCAACTAGGGAGCTCCAGGGGTGGAAAACCGCTGAGCGTGCGGGCAACATGTCCCGCCGGTCGCTTTGAACAACCTTCAATCAACACCTTCGCCGCGTTGGTCATTGTTCCTGGCAGAAGCGCCTGCATGGGTTGGGCTAGAGCTTTTGTTCAAACAGTTCAGTTCTGTGTTGGTTTCCTTTAGGTGGGGTGTGGCTGTTTAAACAACATTTGCCACCAACCCTGCCTGCATTTGAGTGATGATTTCCCGCCATGAGGCCTTGATGATTTTGCGTGCCCTGTGAGACGGAACATGCCTCAGAATCCCAGCGCACGGTAAGGGAAACAAGGGCTGGCGGACTCCTTTTTGGGTGGTTTTAAAGGGAAACGCTGAGGGAAATTCATTCTGGGCTGGTCCCATGATTTCACCACTATCAAAGTCACCCTCTAAGTGGTAGGTCAAAGGGTGACTACCCCAGTTTCTGATAACCCGAAACAGTTATCTCAAAAAATTGCCCCCGCTGGGGGGAGCACTATTTGAGAAACCGACAGAAAAAAACAGAAAACCGCGTGGCGCTGGACGCAACTGGAGCGCTGGACCTGCACCTCCAAATCGGCCGCCCAGGCATCCAGCTCCTCCCGCACCGGCGCAACAAACTCCAGAACCTTGGCCTGAGTCACAGGCCACCTTGAAATCTCAGTCACAGGCTAACCTTTTGGAGCCATTGCTAATGGACCAACGTTGGCAAATGAGAGGTTCGGTTTTTGGCGCTCTTTGATTATAACCTTAGGGCCGAATCAAGCGGCACTACCTCATGGGAATGGTTTTTGTTGTTGATGACAATTGGTTGCAACCCCGGCCCGCGGCGCCTTTGCCTCTGATTCACTCACTTGGATCAATGCGTCCGCATACATTTTTTGCAGCTGCAGGAAGAGATCGCACACCTTCATAGATACCATGTGCCACGCACCTTGCACAGGCGAGGCATCCTCCTCTGCATTAAGCTCAAACATCGGAAAGCCATCCAGCGTGTAAGACATCTCCCTGCAGTCTTGGATCTGTGGTTCTCGCTCTGATGCCCATGTCTGCTCCATCTCTTGGAAAGTGATGCGCGCGGCATCACTGAAACTAACCCTCATCAGCTTCAGCATCTCAGTGGAGATCTGTGCTTTGACTTGCTGGATCGTTCCAACCACCGTTTTTGCATCATGCGGGCCTTGCGGGGCCCCGCATGAACCTCGGTACTGACCCAAGCAAAGGGAATCCACAAGTTGACGCTTGGAACCCTCCAATGAAGGTCACGCCAAACAAGTCCAAAACTGAAAGTGAAACGCAGATCAAACGGTGTAAAGGTATTGTGAAAGCGGGTCAGCTAGTTTGTGGTTGGTTTAGCTCGGTCATATCTTTCCGCTTGTTGCTTTTAAAACAATTGGGTCAGCGCAACTTGGTGGTCGGTACTAAATGTGTATACTTTTGTGTAGCCTCGGTAGTCTGATTTGGATGCCTTCCCATGAATGGAAAACAATGGTAGTCAAAGCTCCCAGCTTTTGTGGGCCAACAACGGGAATCCTAATGATTTAATGGGATTCGGTCCGCAACTTACCACACCAATGGTCTGCCAATGGTGTCAAATGGCCAGGGCGCGAATGAACCCGGTGCAATACTTCTTGCATCTTCTTGCTTTTGCAAAGGTCTTGTTGGTTTTTGTGGGGAACTTGGGTTTTCCCTGCGTCATGAGGGGCAAAAACAGCATGTTGGTTACTCGGTGCGTACATACATGAATCAATCATGAAATAGGGCTGGGACTTGTATTCGCCGACCCCTTTCTCCACAGGGGAGGCGCATGGGAAGGGCTTGTATTCGTCCTTGTCTTCGTAATGTTTATCATCACCACTGATGTTGGGTGATGGATCATCAGCATTCTTCGGTTTCATATACATTTCAAGTGTACCTTTCGACCCGGCTTGGAGTGCAGGTGATGCATAGTCATGATTGTTATGATAACTGCTGCTCATGCTGGGGATGCATAGTGATGATTATCATCAGGATGTCATCATCATCATTCATCATCATCATCCTAACCCATGCAAAGTGAGGATTTCATGGCTGCTGCGATGCTGCGGGCGCATAGTGATGATTATCAGTGATGATCATCATCATTATCGTGGCGCGTTTCAAGTGTGCCGTTAGACCCGACTAGAAATGCAGAGGATGCGTAGTGATGATTGTCATGATAACTGCTGGTAATGCTGGGGATGCGTCATGATGGTTATCATCAGGATGATCATCATCATCATCATGGCCCGACTTGACACGCGATTATCATCATGACAGCCGGCGATGCTGCGGATGCATAGTGAGCATTGTCGTTACGCTCTTCTTGTCCTGTATTATACCTGACTGGAAATGCAGAGGATGCGTAGTGATGATTGTCATGATCACTGCTGGTGATGCTGGGGATGCGTAGTGATGAATATCATCAGGATCATCATCATCATCATCATGACCCGACTGGAAATGCAGGGGATGCGTAGTCGGTGATGCTTCTCGCGAACACGAAGCGATGACACGTCCACTCTTTGCATCCACAGCAATACAACGAAGTCTTGTGAACAAAAAAAGTGCCCCCAACGTGGTTTTCCTGCCCAAGTTGCCACACACCGGGGGCACTTCTTGTAACATCCAACAAGATGCTCATTACAGCATCATGCGAATGAATCCTGCACTGGCTTGTTTCTTCTTTTTCATATATGCTTTAAGTGTGCCGTTAAACCCGGCAAAAAAACACGTAGTCATAATTATTATAAGCAAGCTGGGGGCGGCGGCACGGGGCGGCAGCCCTTAGATCCGGCTACGCCTCCTGGGGTAGCATGTCGCCGCTAGGCAATTAGCCTGCTAGCTTTAGCTGTAGGGGCTGCCCTGGTGCCGCCGCCCCTCGCCACTTGGTCGTGATGCGCTGCCTAAATCCGGCACCTCTGCATCACCAGCTCGGGCTTGCGGTTTTGCTTGCCTGTGGGAAACCCTCGCAAAACATCGCGTAATTATACGCAGGGTTTAGGCGGCCTGGGTGATGCTTCAGGGCTTGGTCTGCATCATCAAGACTTCCTTCCAAAAAGCCTCTCAACCCATGAAGCACTGTTTTTTAGAAGGTATCGGAGGGATATAAGCGAGGCTCATTTTCGCGCATTTTGGCGCCAAGCGCTGCCGGGCATGCCGGAGATGCTTCTACAAAACGCTGTAAATACTGTCAAAAACTGCTGTGCTGAGCGGTGGGTTGTTTTTCTGTCCGTTTTGCTTTTGCTGTGGCTGGCCCGCGTGCTCCGCGGCCCTTGCTTTTTTCCCGTTGGTTTTCGGGCTTTCTGGCGCGCGCGCGCCAAAGATCCCAGCCTCAAAACGCTGCTATTTACAGTGTGTTGTAGCATTTGCGTTTCCGGGCTGGCTTGCGGGCTGCTCTTTTTGGGCTGCTCTTTCTGGGGCCTCTGGCGCGCGCGCGCGACCCCATGTCAGCCTTCTGGGTTGGGGCCCGGCTGGGGCCCAGAAAGCTGGCATCCCCGGCATCATCTGGGGTTGGGGTGGGCAACATGCATAACCTAACGAGCCATATCATAGCACAGGGTACGTTTCTCATACAAAAAATATGACATGACGTGGTATAATAACTTCAAAGAGGCGTAGCCGGCTAGAGGCTACGGGCCCAAATAGGATGCGCTGGTGAACAGAGGGTCGCCGAAAATCGAAAAATGCATCTCCTTGTTGATTTAAAGATATGTAAAACCCAGCCCGCTTTGGAGGCCCAGGAGCCGTGCTGCAAATGGACGGCCCACCTCTTCAGCTCACGAAACACCTTGCCCACGTCCTCCGGCAGCTGCGTCTCCTCGCGGCTCATGCGGCTCACTCTTACCTCCGCGTGGCCCAGCAAGCGCCAGGCACCTTTGCCGAGGACCGGGTTGAAGGCCACCAAGCAAACCTCAGGAGACTCGTAGATATAGTTTTTCTACAAGGGCTTGGGTTCACGGCTACTTAATGTCAGCTTCACTGTAATCGGTGGTTTGGATGCTTTCCCAACCACCAAACCATCATCACTTAAGGGGTGCCCGAACAAGGCTCGGGTTCATGTCTCCGAACTAGAAGACGGGTGGCCCGGAAAATTTTCCATGATACGCACGCAGCCTGACCCGGTCCATTTTCCAATGCGAATGCGAGCACGGCGGCAGTGCCAAAAGCAACAATTTCCAAGGTGCATGGAGAAAGACAACTCCGCTCCAAGACTTGCCATGGAAGAGACCACATCGTTCCGACAACAGGGTTCCCTGCTGCAGAATGTTTTCTGTAGATATGGTCTTTACGCAAATGTCCTGTGCAGGTCTGCGCGTCGCTCTCAGCAAGTTGCCATGCGCCATGTACTTCGCGTGCTACTTTTGAACTTGAAACTTGCGGCTTTGCAGCTGGAGATGCGGGAGCGTGCTTCGCGTGCTACTTTTGTACGTAAAAGTTCCGGCTTTGCAGGCGGAGCTGCGGGGACGTACTTCGCGTACTACTTCTGTACTTAAAAGTTACGCCTTTGCAGCCGGAGCAGTGGGGACGTACTTCGCGTACTACGTTTGTACTTAAAAGTTGCCGGAGCCGCGGGGACGTACTTCGCGTACTACTTTTGTACTTAAAAGTTGCGACTTTGCAGCCTGATCCTTGCAGACGGTCGCGCGCAGACCGCGAAGATTCACGCGGGACCACAGCGAGAGCGATCTGACACGCACAATCCCCGCAGAGGTGAACCACGAAGATTCGCACGAGAGCGATCTGACACGCCCGATCCACGCAGAGGGTCGTGCGCAGAGCTGAAAACGCAAAAAACAACCTCGAGTTTGTGCACCTCGACCACGCTGATCTTCGCAGAGGGTCGCAATCATCGCAAAGTCCCTCAGTTTTTGCACATCGACCACGGCAATCCCGACAGGGTCCCGCGGGCAAGTTGGAAATCGCATAAAACTCAGTTTTTGCACATCGGCCACGCCGATCCCTGAGATGGTCTCATTTTCGCAGCGCACCTGGTCCCACCGCGCCGCCTTAAGATAATAGCTTCAAGTTAGTGTGGAAGTTTCCTCGTGCAAGTTATGCTCGTGCGAGAAGGAATGCAAGATCGCTAGGCATTTCACGGTGTACTTTCCCTATGCATGCCCCTATGCATTTCGCTGTCTGCTTTCTGCGCGCATGCCTCTATGCATTTCGCTGTCTACTTTCCCTGCGCGTGCCTCTATGCATTTCACTGCCTACTTTCCCTACGCGTGCCTCTATGCATTTTGCTGTCTACTTTCTCTTCGCATGCCTCTATGCTTTTCTCTGTCTACTTTCCCTGCGCATGCCTCTTTCCCTGTGCATGCATCTACGCATTTCACTCTGCATTTGCCCTATGCGTGCCTCCAGGCATTTCGCTGTCTACTTTCCCTGCGTGTGCCTCTATGCATTTCACTGTCTACTTTCCCTGCGCACGCCTCTATGCATTTCACTGTGCACTTTCCTTATGCAGCCCTCTATGCATTTCACTGTGCACTTTCCCTACGCATGCCTCTATGCATTTCACTGCCCGCTTTCCCTATGCAGTTGAGCTGTGAAGAACGCAACGACTTTGCCGGAAGAACCCTTCACAATGCTGTTGGGAAAGACAAACCTGGAACCTGAAAGGCCGCAATTTCCGGCAACAAGGATCCCCATCATGTTCCAGGTTTACAGGTGGGAGAAAGGTCATTCTTGTTCCCAAAAAATCTACAAGGCTTATGACTACTTAGTTGCCCCATAGGCGGCGGTTTGGGAACAACATGGAACAACCTTTCCGACCACAATCAAATGAAAGCGGACAGCTGCTGGCCTGTTTATGGCCTTTTCTTTGGGTGCTGTTCAAGACTGAAGTGGGAATGACACCTTTGGACATCAGAACGGAATACAGTGTGTAAGCGAGGGGAACACGTTTCCAGCTTCGGCGAAAGGGTTGACTCGCAGGCGAGCAACAATGACCACGGCCCCGCCATCCTTCCAGGCCGTGGGCCGAAGTTGCATCTCCACGCTCTGCTTCGCCGGCCGGGTGTCCAATTTGACTTTCCGGCCACATTTGAAGTCCCACGACAACCTCAGCTTGAAAACCTCTGACAAAAATGGATCCCGCCTGAAACATGTGTTTTATACTGGGTTCAAGATCCATCTGCAACGGAATGCAACG